TACATATATATATATATGCATAGGTGCGTAGCATCGCGTTAAAAAGCCCAAAAAACATATGCAAAAACCCAGGCCAAATGACCGCCCACTCTCTAGGGCTAATTTAGGGCTTGGGGTGTGGAACTATGCCCCAGAGCACGGGAACTCCGAAACTCCACACGCTGGAAGCACTGCATTTCAGAATCGAGCCCGAATCCCCCCAGCGCAACTGGGCCTAGACTTGAGCATTGGGAAATGCTTGCCTGCTCAAAACCCGAAAGCAAGCCGAACGTACGGGTCGGAATAATAAACCTACATAATTCCACAGGATTGTTTTTTTCCCCCAAACCCCATTCTAATGGCTGCGGCCCATGTGATAGAAACCATATACTCAAAGCCCTATAGAAATATTGCACCCTCTCGAAGGAACCCGTTCAAGGAGCCCTAAAACCCTAAACCGTGAACCCTTTAAAAGAACCGGCTTGAGGAACCCTAAAATCGATTCTAGATATCTTCATCTGAACGACCCGATCCGCTGCCAGGAAGAACTTCGAAGACTCCAAATACACAAACCATAGGATGTTTTGCATTGCTGCAGAAGTGTCCGAAAGTAAGTAGCAGGCCTGCTGCTGCTACATGAACCTGACGGAATATGCCCGACCATCTATATACTTGTACGTCATATGCATTCCAGACAACCTGGCTGTGCCGGCTGGGATCAGGTCCCTTGCCGAAAGGACAACCTTCAACTCTGCTTTCCGATCTGCAGTGGAAGGTCCTCTCAGACGAGCGTCTGCAAAATGCCCTGGATGTTGAAGCAAACGTTGACAAGCTTACCCTCCAAGACTTCCAGCTTGAAGTACTTGACAAGGCTGGGAGGTCTCTTGCAAGCCAGGAAGCTCCCAGGCGCTATCTCCTTCCTCTGCGACTCATAGGCAAGGTGCCAAGTCGCTCCGTCTTCGGAGGACCAGATCCGGAAAGATGTCGTAGCGGATACGGTGCCAGTTCCGAAGTCGAAGCCCTGAAGATGAACCCAAGAATGGGGAAGCAGCCACTGTACCCACCCTTCTCCGAGGGTTAGTGCCCACGCGGAGCCCTGATTAGAGGCAATGACTTCGAGATCGTCCATGGTGTAGGCATCGCCCTGCCCAGGCCCCAGGATCATCGACACCCAATAGCTCAGGAAAACGCCCTTATTCCCGGCCGCTTCGTAGTTGCTCCAGAGTGTATACAGCACGTCGTCCGTGTACTGACTACGTGCTCTTGTGTTGATGATCGACTCCAGTGCGTCGCAGCCCTTCTCCCCCCAGCTCCGGAGCATCTTCTTGAGCTCATCTGCTGGTATGCACAGTAAACCCGATCCCAGGATCTCTGCCAAGAGCTCCGGTCGGATAGCCGGACGCTTTTTCAGGGCCCTTGCAGGCTCGGTGAAGATGAGATCCCGAGCCTCTGCCTGAGGGACGACATGAACCCTTAAAGGGGTTTAAGGTTTAGGCTTTATAGGGTTTAGGGTTTTTAAGGTTCATATACTTTAATACAGGGCTTCATAGATAGTATCAGGGTTTTGGGGGAGGGGGCTACTTTTAAGGGTCATTTGCTGTCCAAGCTGCTCGCAAGTCGCCCATCTGAAAACGGTCTGCGGCAGCGAAGATCTCACACGCCAGCTCGGGTTTCAGTGCTTTCCGAACACGGGGCAGGCACAAAGACTGCAATGCATCCACCTGATATTTGTCTGCCATTGCAGCCACCTCCATCACTGCCGTGACGGAGCCCTCAACGCTGCCTGAGTACATGAAGCGCAGAAAGGTCTCAACAGCACTAGCCGAGAAGTCTTGGATGACGACCTCTGCTCTCTGTGACTCGGCATAGTTGTCCGAGCCGACCATCTTCCCAAAGACCGGAGACCACTGGGCAAGTAGGAAAGACCACACCTTGAACTCCGTGCGCTTCGCCGCCGGCTGGCCTTCAGTATCCTGGTGAGCTTCACCCGAAGGCTCTTCCACGATGACCTGGTTCCCTGTTGGGACCATATCAAAAATGAATATTTCTAATCCTTGTTAGGGTTTTAGTATAACAAAAATGTAAAATTGTATCCAACAAGGACCCAGTGACCGTGAAGTTCCCGTCCTTGCCGAAGCAGGCTGTCAACACATCAGACAGCGCAGACCTTACTCCCCGAATAAGGCACAGAAAAAAAAAGTTAAACCCTTCGGACCTTCGGGTTACTGTTACTCAAACCCCAAGCCCTAAACCCTAAATCTCAATTCAAATCCCAAACCTTAAACCCTAAACCCTAAAAAAAAAACTTGAAAAGGTGGGGTCTTGGAGAGCTGAGAGGCAGACCCTTAGCTGCAACCGTCTCCTCGGGCTCCCGTTTCCGCTTGGACATCGTCGGCCAGAAGGGGATCCTGCTGTCCTACTGCACAGAGTGCCAATGTTGAGCCTTTCGGAAATCCTGAAATTGGGCTCTTAAGGTTGAGGCTTTAGGGCTTAGGGGCTTAGGGTTTAGGCTTGGGGATGATGGAGATTTGAGAATCACTTGGATGACTTGTACATGCGCACACACACACCCCCCTGCTGACTCAAGAGCTCCGTGCTGCGGCACTGTCCAGTGGTGATGATTCACGGATCCGAATGTAAGGCTCTGGTCACCCTAAACCCTAAACCCTGACTGGTTGGTACCTTTTCCTTCGCTCGGACGATTGAGCTCTCTGGGTTCCGACATGCCAGCATTCCTGCCGTTGCTGCCTCGGCGGTAAGTCTAGTGTAGGTAGTTTTCTAAATTGCCCGGGTCCTTTTTGTACGGGCGCCGTACTGTTTTTGGAACCCAGAAAGGGACTCTAATTTAGCGAACTGCCCAAATAGGGGCCTTATGTATGGCCTCGTGACTTGTTCCATAAAGTTTTGCAGATATGTGCGTGTCAGGGTATTCTTGTTTGTATACCCATGGCAAAACCCGAAATGCACGCTTACCAATATATTCAGTGCCCTTACATAGACCCACCAAAGCCTGACCAGTCAGAGACTGCCTGCAGGACCTACAACCTTACTACCGGGAGCTGGCCCCTCCCTAAACCCTGAAACCCTGAACAATAGTGTAGGGGCCTGAATAATTAGAAGAGGGTTTCGGGCTCCTTTAAAGTATAAGTAAAATAAGGAATCTAAGGAATAATGTCGGCAATTATATAAGCTTCTATAATCACCCCAAAGCCCCAAAACACTAATATCCTAAACCCTACTAAAGCCCCCAAGCCTTAAAGCCCGAAAACCCTGACGCCCCTAACGGATTGCAACTTTTCCGACGTCTAACTAGGTGTAGCTCCTCATAGGAAGACCCCAAAATCGAAAATGGGCAAGAGGGTACCAGAGGGCCTTAATAATTAGAAGGGGGTGTTGGGTACGGCATATATGGAGCACCCAAAATACTATTGGTAATCATTTTAAGCTTATGTAAGACCCTATATTAACCTAGGCTCTCCAGTAACCCCCGAATAATAAGGGTGCCCTTTTCCCTAATATTCGGCTTTAAGAAGGAGACCCCCAAATAAAAAGGGCAAAAGGGTACAACTCGGGAACCTAGTAACACTGGGAGACCTAGCAAGGGAAGGTTGGCACCGGACGGTTGATCCAGAATGTCGAACTTAGCTGAAGCCTGTTCGAGTGCGTGGCTGTGTTAGGGCTTAGGAAAGCTTCGGGTGTAAGGTTTAGGGTTTTAGGGT